GGGCAGTGGGGACCCGGTCCGGGCCCTGGCCGCCTGGTGTGTGGCCTTCTTAGCCCGAGCTCCCGCAGGCGGCCTGAATTCACTTCCCGCACAATGCATGTTTGCTGAGCTTCTGCTCCGGCGGGCGCTTCCATTTTTTTGCAAGGCCCTTCACTTCTTAGCAGTCAGCAAGAATAAAACTTAAGGGGTGGCCCACTCTGCAAAACTCCAGTGTCGTGCTCTCCCCTACCCTGTTTTACTCCCCTTGCCACGGTCCCTAGTAATTTCTTACCTAGGTGCAGCTATTCCTGCTCCCTTTAGCTACCAAGCCACTCAGTCCGTGCTCCAGCCACAGTGAGACAGAATGTAGCTCTTAATATTGTCATCGACCCTCAGCCTGGCACTTCACCTGAGTCAGGTCTTTCTACTTGTAATTTTGAAACCCAGTGCTGTTTTCAGGCCTCCCTACTTTGCCCACTGCCTCCTCTCCCTGCAGATTCTGACAAACTCCTACTCATCTTCTAAAATCCAGCTCCAGCACCTCCTTTGAAGTTCCATGAAGGCAGGAACTTCAGTTTATTCAGTTAATCCTCAACAATTTTGTATTAGTTTGGCATGTGGCCAGAACAAGAGACACCCTCATGAATGAATAACTCAAAGAGTGTAGAGACCTGGGTTCCAGTCCTGACTCTGCTACTGACTTGCTACATGGTGTTAGGAAATTGTCTCCCTTCTCTGGATCTCACCTCCAAAATAAGGTTAAAAAAAATTAATAGATTAAATGAATTTTTCCCCCATAAATAAGGTGTTTGGACTTTATGGCCTGGCAGGATCTCTTGAAGCCCATTATGATCCATGAGGATGTTCCCAAATACTAGTCCCAAATGCTGAAGGCAAAACTATTTCTTTCCTCCATTGCTTCCTTTTTTTCTCGTTCTCTTTCTATTGCTTGATACCTGGAACTAATCCAGTTTGAATATACTCCCAAGACCAGTTCAAGTTACTTGGTTGTCCTGGAATGTGCCTTGTATTCAGTCTGTGAAACGTTTTTACTGTTCCGGAGAAATGTGGTTGATGTTTTACCATTCTGTGGGGCTGTTTTATAGAGGGTACTGCGGGAAACTGATAAAATGTGGCAGCCACAAGACTGCTCCTCGAAGGCCTCCAGCTACAGGGAATATAAGTAGTCAAAGCTATGCGATCAGCAGTCGGCTGGGCTATCAACTCTATCCTGTCTATACGGAGGTCATGCTTCCCTTCAACTGCTCCCAGTGACTGAGCAAGGCAGGAGCACACACTCAGGCAGGCCTGTTCCTGGGAGGCGTGGACTCCTCTGACAGTCACCTTTAGCTGGAGGACTCCCCAGTGCCCTTCCCAAGCCTTCCTTAGCCTATATGGCACTAGGACTCTTATCCAGCCTCCCCTGCCTTTCTCACTCACTTAGGGTCAGACTTGCATCAAGGCCTGATGGCTCTCCCAGCTTTCCTAGGCTCTGCCCACCTCCATTTTCCCTTACAGAGGCATTTTCCCTAATAAAATCCTTGGTTAGCTCTTTGTTCTGAGAGGACAAAACTAACATATAAGGAAATATTTGAGCCAAGGCATAAAGAAATGAAAGTGTGAGCCATTAGGTATTGTGGGAAGGGTGCTCTTAGACAAGGGGTGCAGCAAGTACAAAGGCCCAGAGGTGAGAGACTGCTGGGTGCATGTACTGCTAACTGATGCAAGCCTTGCGCAACTCATAGGTTGTTTTTGGTAGATGATGATAGCCACCAAAATCGTTGCCTTGGTCATGGTTAGCTAAGCCCCACAACTTAATTACTAGGTTATAATAAAATCAAGTCTCAAACAAATCTTGTCACACAAACAGATATTTAAAACATTCATTAGGAAGCAGGGATCATACGATCCCTAAAACCTGTAAGCTCAGGAAAGTTTTAGCTCTCTGTCCTTTGTGCACAAAAAGATTTTCTCAAAGCAGATAGAACATTCCAGAAACAGAATTTCATTTCCCTTTTAACAGCAGTTGGCATTATACTTGACAGACCACATGGGGATCAAACTTCAGGTACCATCACTAAGAGTGAAGACCATACTGGATCCTCATACCCAGTTCTTTTTTGTTGTTGTTGTTAATCTTCACCTGAGGATATTCTTCCATTGTCTTTTTTAAAAATATATATGTATATTTATTTATGTCAGAGAGGAAGGAGAGAGAGAAACATCAATAAATGAGAGAATCATTGATCGGCTGCCTCCTGCACACCCCTGACTGGGATCAAGCCCACAACCCAGGCATCTGCCCCAACCGGGAATGGAACTGTGACCTCCTGGTTCATAGGTCACCGTTCAACCACTGAGCCAAGCCGGCCAGGATTTTTTTTTTAAGAGAGAGAGTGGAAGGAAGGGGGAGAGACAGAGAGAAACATCAATGTGAGAGAGACATATTGACTTGGTTGCCTCCCGCACACAGGCTAGGGATCAAGCCTACAACTGAGGTACGTGCCCTTAACTGGAATCGAACCAGGACCTTTATTCCACAGGTCAATGCTCTATTCACTGAGCAAAACTAGCTAGGGCTGAACCAGTTCTTAAACCAGAGTCCAACAACTGTAGGGAAGGCTGAGTCCACTTCAGGACCCTGCAGAGCCACCGAAAGCATAGTCAGTAAATATGTCCTTTATCATTTCCCAAAGGAACCTGTGGTTATTTACCAGAGTTAACTAGACCCTGGATAAGGAGAACACCAGATCTTCCAGAGTTGGCTACAGGGTCTGCGTTGACACTGACACCATGGGACCTGAAACACCAGCCAGGCCCCAGTTGGAGTGGGAGCTTGTGGAGCCAGGCACCAGATGTCTCACAGGGGGTCAGATGTGTCCATGCACCACCATGTGGAAATGTCCCTGGTTCCCGAGGACACGATTAAGATGGACGTACTGTGCAGCTTACATTGGTCCCTTCACCCTGCCTTGACCCAGCGAGTATTAAATCAGAAAACATACCGCATCCCAGGTGGGATTGTGGCCTGGAGCACCATCTTCAAAGATATAAGGATTCAGGAGTGGTAGTTCCCATCATATCCCCATGCAGTTCACCTGCTTGGCTCCTGCAAAAACCAGATGGATTATGGCAGATGACTGTGAACTACTGTAAACTTAGCGAGGTGCACAGCCCGATCATAGCTGCTGTGTCAGGAGCAGCAGTCTACTGGAACAGATCCACACCGCTTTGGGACCTTCCTAGGGCTACTGATCTGGTGAACAGGTTCTTCTCAACGCCAATGATAAAGTGGATGAAAGGCAGTTTGCCTCTATACGGGAAGGACCATATTACTCATTCATTCTCTCTGCTCTCACTTCTGCTACCTCCCAAGTGAAGAATCTCTGTACAAGACTGTTTCCAGCTCTGCTTCTATTGATGAAGCTGCGACATATATTGATTCAGGAGAGTTACATAAATATTATGGAAGAATTAGGTAAATATGTATTAGGATTATCCAGAGAAACAGAACCAATAGGAGAAAGAGGAAGTCCACTCTCTGCTCTCTGGAAGCTGGACTCAGGAAAGCCCGTGGTGTATTCCAGTCCAAGTAAAAGGCCTGAGAACCAGGAGCAACAATGGAGTAAGTCCCAGGCCCAGGGCAGGAGATAACCGATGTTCCAACTCAAACAGTCAAGCAGAGAGACAAAATTCAACCTTCCTCTGTTTTTTTCTTCTATTCGGCCCTCGGCCCTCGGTGGGTTGGATGAGGCCCATGAGATTGGGGAGAGCAATTTTCTTTACTCAGTCCACCAATTCAAATGCTAATCTCTTCCAGAAACACCTTCACAGAAACACTAAAAAATAATAGATACCTACCTACCTGGGTATCTATCCTGTGGCCTAGTCAAGTTGACACATAAAATTAACCATCTCACCCTAGCTTGCTTGACTCAGTGGATAAAGTATCGGCCTGCAGACTACAGGGTCCCAGGTTCAATTCTGGTCAAGGGCAGATGCCTGGGCTTAATCCCAAGGGGGAGGGGGTGGGCGCGTGCAGGAGGCAGCCAATCAATGATTCTCATCATTGATATTTCTCTCTCTCCTTCCTCTCTGAAATCAACAAAAATATATATTTTTAAGAATTAACCATCTCAATTATTAAGTTATGAGATATTTATATATGTATTTCATACATATACAATTTTCAACTTTTTTTTTTTCGTAAGCAGGACTGTCCCTGTATATTTTACGGCCTCTCTGATTTTTTGGCTTTAAATATCTGTTCTTTTACAAACTAGTAATGCCAGTAGAAGGTAGGCTTTTAAAAATTTTTTGTCAGAAATAGCTAAGATCTGGAAACAGCCCAAGTGCCCATAAGTAGATGAATGGATAAAAAAGCTCTGATACATTTACACCATGGAATACTATGCAGCAGTAAAACAGAAGGATTACCCTTTGAGACAGCATGGAGGGACCTGAAGAGTATTAACCAGTCAGAGAAAGACAAGTATCATATGATCTCACTCATATGTGGAATCTAATGGATAAAATAAACTGATGAACAAAATAGATCCAGAGACATAGAAGCATGGAACAGAGTGGGATCTCAGAGGGAAGATGGAGGTGGGTGGGTGGGTAGGTGGGAAGAGATCAACTAAAGAACTCCTATGCATATATGCATAACCCATGGACACAGACAATAGGGTGGTGAAGGCCTGGCAGGGGGATGGACAGTGGCAGGCTAGAGGGGTCAATGGGGGGTATAGGGGGACATATGTAATACTTTCAACAATAAAGATTTAATTTTAAAAAATTGTCAGAATTTTAAAATTTATAACCGTACGTGGGTCTCTTGAATTTCTAAAACATTTTACTTTTCATGGATATCCAAAATACAGAACCTTTGGTTTGAGATTTGGAGGACAAAAGGGTGCAGTGACAAACTCTGCAATGTGAACTACAGCCACTGGGTGGCGATGCTTGCCTATCAATTTTGTGGCGCCTGTTAACAGAGAAATAGGATAAAAGAAGCTAAAAGCCAGTTTCTCCCAATGAAGAACTGGACTTAAAGTCACAACTGGGCTTTCATATTTTACCATCAAAGCCTGGTTGGTTTTATATACTGGCTGTATGCTGGTAAATACAGTACTTAGATTTTTGTCCAATTTGTTGCTAATACTCTGATACAGTAGAGTATCAGCTACCCAATGTACTAAAATGTCTGCTGTTAGCCAAGCTAAATTTCCCCATCACGTGTAATGGCATGTTCCTACAGATGTTCTCATTTATTTGTTAATTTGGAGTAGCTGCAATTCTCTAATTTGGGAAAGAGTGAACTTAGTCTTATTTTTTAATTATTAACTTTCAATTATTCAATTAATGTATGATTTTTATCTTTGTAAAAAATTAACAAAACACAATATATGGATAAGTCGAAAGGTCTCTTTAACTACAGCCCCACATATATCTGGTGCCACAGAAAAATATTATTTTAGTGTGTGTGAGAGTTTAAAGAAAATTGGAATAATATGTATTTCATTCTGCAACCTTGTCTTTTCACTCAAAACTATATTGGAGCCAGAACCGGTTTGGCTCAGTGGATAGAGCGGCGGCCTGCAGACTCAAGGGTCCCAGGTTCGATTCCGGTCGGGGGCATGCGCCTTGGTTGCGGGCACATCCCCAGTGGGGGGCGTGCGGGGGGCAGCTGATCAATGTTTCTCTCTCATTGGTGTTTCTGGCTCTCTGTCTCTCTCCATTCCTCTCTGTGAAAAATCAATAAAATATATTTTTTTAAAAAAGATGACTGCAGCTAAAATACCTTATTAAGAAAAAGGGGGGGAAAAACTATATTGGAGATAATTTTATAATATTTTTTAGGCTACCCCACTATTTTTCACTCTTGCATTTTAGTATGAGTAAGCTACATCCTATTTAACCATTCTCTTGGTGGACATTAGGGTCATTTCTATTTTTTGCTTTTATAAGGAATATACTTGTACAAGTTTTCTCTTGCACCTGAGTGAGGGTATCTCCTGGGTAGGCAGTGATAAGAACTGCTAGGTTGTAGAAAATGCTCACGTTAAAAAAACTTAATAGATGTCTTTGTTTTCCAAAAGTTGTGCTTCAAATAGTTTATGAGTGGATCTTTTTTTCCATACACCCAACCCGATACAAACTTTTTAAATGTTCTTCAGTCTGATACCTAAAGCAAATCTCAATTATATTTACTTTGTATTTCTGTAATTTCCAAGAAGGTTGAACATCTAAGTTAACTGGCATTTCATGTTTCCTCTACTGAGAATTGACTATTCATATCCTTGGCCACATTTCTGTTGGGTTGTCTCATTAATTTAAGGGAGTAATTTATATGTATATTCTGCATACAAACCCTTATGTATTGAAATGTTATTGTCTTCACTTGTAGTATCTTTTGACCTACAAAATTGTTTTTATGTAGTCAGTTTTATTAATTTTATCCATTAGATCTTTTTCTTTCTTGTGTCTTGTTTAGAAAGACATTCAAGATATAAAGATATTCTATAATAGTTGTAAAACACTTAATCTAATGCTTTTATTGTTTATATATAGATTTGGAGTTGATATTTTTTTAATTTTTAAAAATGTGTTTTTTTTTTCTCAGAGAGGAAGGGAGAGGGAAAGACAGAAACATCAATGAGAGACTCACTGATGGGCTGCCTCCTGCACGCCCCCTACTGGGGATTGAGCCTGCAACCTGGGAATGTGTCCTGACCAGAAATCAAACCAAACCGCGACCTTCTGGTTCATAGGTCGATGCTCAACCACTGAGCCACACTGGTCGGGCTAGAGTTGATTTTTATGAATGGAATGAGACAGGACTGTATATCACTATTTTTTCAAACAGGTATTTTATTGTCTGAAAATAATTTGACTATTAACAGACTTTATCTGAAGGTTTGAAATGCCATTTATAACATATAAAAAATTTCCATATACATGGGTCAATTTTGGGGAACTATTTCTATGATTTTTGAATCAATATGACAAGGGTTCAAGTGCTATAGCTTTACAACATGCTCTGATTTTTATTTAACCAAATTGCTCTTCTTTGTTCTCTTACAACATAGTCTTTGCTATTCATAACATTTACTTTCATATAAATTTTAAAATCATCTTGTCAAGTTGCATTAAAAAAATCCCACTGGGGTTTTTATTGGAATTGCATTAAATTCATGAGCTAATTGAAAGGAAGTAACTAGGAGAAAAATGATATTTTACAATCTTGAGTCTTCTTATATCACATAAATGTGGTATACTCTAATATTACCTCACTGGTTTCAATCATCGTCTTGAATGGTTTCAAATCTCTGCTTATAAATTCTTCTTTTCAGTTTTCTGAGAACAGGATCTTCCAACTTTTTAGAGCAGTAGTCTCCAAATTATTTTGATTATATATCCCTATGAGTAAAATTCATGAGCATGAAAATAAATAAATAAATAAATAAATACACACACACACACACACACACACACACACGTTACTTACACCAAGCATATCAAACTCAAAGGCTAACATGGGCCAAATGAAGAAGGTTCAAGTTTATGTGGACCGCAAAAAAACAAAAGCCTCAATTTTCATAGAAACATAGGTTTATTTCAATAGAGACATGCTGAATACAAATGGCTGAAATAAATAATTGTTAACATAAAATAATTGGACATTTTAATAAAAATTAATTTTTCTTGAACATTAACTTACCAGACACTGAATAACTACACAAATTAATAAGCATAACGCAAATAAACCTATTTTTCTTGTTCTCCAAAAGCGAAATATTTCCTATTGCACACACCAAACAAGTCAGTCCAAGACTAATGACGTGGCAATCGGCTGCTAAAATATTCGCCGCTAGTATTAGTGAACAGAAATGGTGTGCCTGCACGTAAGGCGCGTAAGGGAAATGAATGCAACACGATTATAGTAATCAGTCGTTAGCCAATGTTATAGTTCATTATTAATAATTACACCTAACAGGATATTGTAAAAATTAAGTTACGAAATTTTGATTAAAACAT